TCCTTAGGCCTGGCAGTTGCCATCATGAATGCCTGCCTTGCCCTTTGCCCTGTGCTCTTTGCCCTCAGCCTGGTAAGGGGGCCTCTGTAACCAGGAACACAAGTCAAGACAACTGGGGCACTGCCAGGCCGGTGTGGCTCAGTGGTTGAGCATTGACCTATGAATCAGGAGGTCAGGGTTTGATTCCTGGTCAGGGCACATGTCCCAATTGTGGCTCCATCCCCAGCAGGGGGCGTGCAGGAGGCAGCCGATCCATGATCCCTCTCATCATTGATGTTTCCCTCTCCCTCTCCCTCCCTCTCTCTGAAATCAACGAAAATACATATATTTTTTTAAAGACCATTAGGGCACTGTCTCAGCACTAGGGTAACTGGGGGTGCAGAGGACACACCCAGCCCCTCCCGCCCCCGGGGCAGCACAGGGCCACGCCCACAGCTGTGCTGTGACTGAGCCACCCGTGCTCCCTGACAGTGTGGAGCCTGTCCTTGTCCAGGACAGCCGGCCGGGCCTGGGGGACCTGGAAGTGCTCAGCCATACAACAGCCCCGCACCCTTCCGGCAGCAGGCCGACCGGCTCCTCTGTCGCCTGTCGTGGGAGCTGGCCCCAGACACCCGCTCCTGCCGGAGCAGTGGCTGAACCGGGGCAGCTGGGGCGGCTCCGCCAGGCCCTTCCGGGCCATCTTGTCCCTCTGTCCTCATGGCCGACCATCGTTATCCCCTCACGTAAGGGACGGGGCTGAGTTCTTCCACCCACGTCCAAGGGAAGTCCAGCCCGAGGAGCCTGGGAGGGGCAAGCACGGCCATGCCAGGGGAGCCCCTTAGGCCGCCAGCCGGGGCGGGGCCCAGCTGTGAGGGAGGTCCTGGGCTGTGAACAAGGAGTCAGAGACGGCAGCAAAGAGAGGGCAGAGCTGAGCCACACGGGGACCCTCCCACCCTTCCTGGGGGCCCGCCACCCTGGGGAGCCTGTGGACCCTGAGCGAGACGCTGATGGGCCATGTGCTGGCCCTCCCCCACGCGGCGTGGGCTCCCAGGCCACGGGGCAGGGCAGCAGCGCCAGCCAGGTGCGCGGCCTCGCACTCGCCGGCCCCGCGG